AGACATATTCCCCAATATAGGAATAAATGAAAAATAAAAAGAGAAAAGAAGGAGAGTGTTTGAATGGAGGGAGTGCAACTCCATCACCCTGAATGACTTACATATCATGGAAAACAAACTGAAGAGAAGGAGCCACGTTGAAAAGCAACTTTATATGCAATGGTTTCATTCCACTGGTGACTATACTGATTAGATGGTCTCCTGGTCTGTAGTAGCTCCATGGTTTTCCATCCTGGTTCTCTGAACTCAGCGGGCATTTCATTCTCAGCTTCCCAGAGTCTGAATGGAACAAAAGCAGCATCAGAGGCAGAATCAGGAGGTCCATCATTCATGGCATGTACCAATGAATCCCTTTCCTGTTTCTGAAGAAGAATTAGAAGAATCAAAGGACTCTCACAAGGTGGAATATGAACCAGTTGTTTTCCTTCTTCAAACACAGAGAAACACTCAGCTTCATCTGGAAAGGAGAGAGACCTACATTCAAGAGCACAGACTCTGCCTGTCCCAAACCTCCATATTTCTCTGCCCAAAGTCTCCCCTGGAGGATTCAGCCAAAGAGCAGAGCTGAAACTTTTATCATAATTCTCCCTCCCAGGAGGGATCCCTGGATAATTCAACTAGTTGTTGGACTTGGAGATTGTTGGGAAATTCTCTGGAGGGAAATGAAAGGGAAATAATCCTGATGTGATTCATAATAACTCCAAGCCCCCATCACAGCCAACGCAGCAAGGGGTTGACTAGAAGACCTCCAAGGTCCCTTCCAGCTCTATTCTGATTCAAAATAGACTCATAAAACCTTCCCTCTGCAGAGAGCTTTGAATATCTCACCCCAAACTATGGAATATCAAGGACATTTTAGATTTCTTGAAACCCATTAAATGGATTAGATGGAATTACATTCCTGGGGGAAAAAATCCAGAGACTTCAGGTTTTCTATTCCACTTTTACTCTGAGGTTTCCCATTGTGCTCAGGTCCAGTCTTAGTAAAACCCTGCAACATTTGGGGAGGAAGGTGCAGCCCAGCAGCCCTGCCCTGGAGGCCCAGAGGGAGAAGACCTTCCCCAGATGACCTGCACTGGGCAACCGAAGGGCCCCAAAGCTCCTGGCCCCCTTATTGCCTGCTTCAAAATTCAGGCCAATCCTCCCTCCTCCCCCAATTCTATTCACAGGCAGTCCTTGACTTACGACCACTGGAATTTCTGCCCTCAGTCGTGGCAGTCATGGAGTCGAAGCAGAGCCAATTTATTACCGTTTTCATGGAGGTCGTTATGCAAATCATGCGCTTATTCAGATCCGGTTCAGGCTGGAACAGGGAATCCTTACAAACAAAACTTACAAACATTTTAAAAACCATATAATAAGAAATTCACTAATTGACACGGCTGGAAATTAAACGTAAGCACTATATGACGTAAGTCCCAGGCTGGATATCTACATTAGAGGCAACAATGCACCCCAATACAATACACCTCAACGCACCAGCTACTCAAAAAATAATAAGATACAAAGAAATTCTGGATATTAATGGGAGACTCAAATCTCGCCAAGAGCTCAGGGACCAGGGCGTAGAAATAGACTGGTGGCCGTATTTACTAATACAAACTAGATATAAAAAAGACAGTGAAGAAGGAGGAGTTGAAATAAAATCTAACCAATTAGATAAATTATTAGAAACTAAAGAGGGAAAATTAATTTCAAAGATCTATAAATACCTACTAGAGTTCGACCTGGCAGAAAACATAGTCAAAGGCCAAATGATAGCTTGGGCTAGGAACATTGGAAGAAATATACAATTAGAAGAGTGGGAAATGATATGGGAAAATAATTGTAGAATAACAAAGGCAACAACGTACAAAGAGAACCACTACAAGATGTGGTATAGGTGGTAGTTAGCCCCTGCTAGATTGGCAAAAATGTACCCAAATTGTAATCCGATGCGTTGGAAATGCAGACAGTCACCGGGAACCTTTTATCATCTTTGGTGGCTTTGCCCAAAAATTAAAAAAATTTGGATGAAAATTAGAATATGGATAACAGAAATAACAGAAGAAGAGATTGACCTAAAACCTGAATTTTTTTTATTAGGCATACTTAAAAAAAGTAGTAGAAAAGAAATAAAATACATCACATTACATATAATTACAGCGGCTAGATTAACCCTAGCCCAAACTTGGAAATTAGAACAGTTGCCAACAGAACAACAAATAATCCAAAAAATATTTATATGTGCAGAAATGGATATATTAACTTTAAAATTAAACAACAAGGAAGACTCACAGTATTACAAAATATGGGACAGATGGTATGAATGGATCAATCGATGGAAAAAAAACTAAAGTCAAACACAGTAAGAAATCAAGGGTAACAAATCGTCATTAAGAAATCAAGGTTAATGTATATATATATTTACATGTTCAAATATAGATAGATAATCCTGTTTGTTAGTTTTAGTATATATGTAATTTAGAATTGTACTTTCTTTTTTAGAGTTAAGAACGTTTTGTACAATCTTTTATCTTTTTATATTGAATAAAGTTTGTTTTTAAAATTGAAAAAAAAAAGAAAGAAAGAAACTTCCTCCTGCTTCACCTGGACCAAAATCTCCCTCCGGCTTCTCTGGGGAACCAGGCAGCCATTCCCAGGGGGGCAGGTTTGAGGGGGGGATTCAACCTGGGGGCCTCACTGCCTCTCAAAGAATTAATGATATTCTGGGGAGTCCCACAACCTGATTTCTCCTTTTAGAAAGACATAGTACAGGAAGTCCTTGACTTTCAACCACAGTTGGGACAGAGAAACTCGTCATAAAGTGAGACCTCCCCTGACCGTGGCTTGCAACCTTCCCCATTGGCTTCCCCGTTGACTTTGCCTGTTGGAAGCCATGAGAAGATGGCAAATGGCCACCACGTAACCCTGGGACCCTGCAACTATCGTCAATGTGAGCCAGTTGCCGAACGCCTGGATTGTGATCACGTGACTGCAGGGACACTGTAACAATCTGCTTCTAAGTTGTGATTCTCAGCTTTGTCGTCACTTTCAACCATTGCTAAATGAATGGTCATAAGTATTGCAGACATTCAGAGAATCCCAGAATGGAAGCTGTGAGAGGAGACCTTCATGGCCATCTAGTCCAACCCCATCCCCCGTGCAGGAACCCAATGCCACGAATACACAATTGACATAGACGGATCTCTCATTCTTGTATTTTAATGGGATTTTCTTTATTTTTATCAGGGAGTTGATGAGAATTATTCGGGGCCAAATCTGATGTCCTTGCAAGGAACTGGACGTGACCTGGAAGGAGAGTCGTATCCAGCTCCATTGGGGCCTCAAAGGCCTGAGGAGAAGCAGCCAAACAGCCAAGAGGAGGAGCCATTTCAGTCCTCGGTGGGTGGAAAACATGGCTAATTTTTCATAATTATTCAAAAATCTCTCCCAATGTTTGTGTGTGTGTGTGTGTGTGTGTGTGTGTGTGTGTTTGTGATTTTGTTGTCTGCACTCGAGCTGATTTTCTCACAGAGCAGGGAGGGACGTGGGCTCTTAAGAAATGTGAAAAATAGAAAAAATCCCCTCCCCCCCCATGCTCCTCCACTCCCTCTGGAACCCCTCATCTGCTCCTCCACAGCCGAATGCGGCTCCTTCTCCAAAGGGGTCTTCGCCCGTCCTCCTTTTACGGCCAGAAGGCCTCTCACTGCCCCCCCCCACTCTCCTCTGGATTCCTCCAGGAGGCCCAAAGACTGGCCACCCCCATCTCTCCGGAAGTCGGACTGGCCAGCAGATCAAGGGGAGGATTGGAGGGCAGAGGGGATTTTTAACATCTCCATTTGCACCCAGACTGACCCCACCAATCTCAAGCCAAAAGAAGCCCCCCCCGAGACCCCCCCTCCACCCACTGTCTTTGAGCATTTCCCTGGGCACAGGATGACTGCTGAGTCTGATTCTGTCCACTGCTTCAGACATTCAGCCAGACACGGAGTTCCCCACCGGTGTTCCCAAAACCATCAGGAGCCCCTGTGGATCCCACTGAGAGACCCCCAGAGTGGAGAAATCTCCCACTTGCTTTTCTCCCAGAGATTCTGACGTTTCCCCTTCAGATCATGATCTGTCTGAACTCAGTCCGTGTCTGGAATTGGAGAGTGTTCCTGTCCAGCCTCCCCTTTTCCTTCCCTGCGCTGATTATTGGGGTCCTTGGATTCACATCTGGGGCTGTTTCTCTTCCCACCTGGGTGGAAAAGTTGTTTTGTATGATCCCTTCCAATTTCAGAGCCTCCCTTTTTTTTGAGGCCTATGGAAACACAATTGAGGGCCCTGGACCTCCTCCCAGCCCTGGGACACAGCGGGTTTCCCTGTTTCTTTGGGAAAGATTCCTTCCCCAATCAGAGTCCGCCTGAGCCCCATCATCCACTTCCCTCCCTGCCTAGGATCAGCTGAATTCCTCCGTTCAGACAACAGGAAAATGGGTATTTGAACCAAGCCTCCGGGTCATCCTCCATTCTTCCACACAGAGGGTCCCTCTCACTCTGCAAAGCCAAATTCTCCCTGGCTTCCTGGACTCCTCCAGCAATCGCTCAGCTGAGCTCACAGCAGGGCCAGGGCGGCTGAGAAATTGGGACGGAAGGGACCACAAAAACCCCACAAACCTTTACAGCCGCAAGAGACACTTGGACACAGACTGTGGTCTCACACACACTCCTAAACGGTGCCTTTATGTGGCAATGAGAAAGGTTATGGGATCAATCTCACAACACTCACCCTATAGGGCTGCCCCATCTGTTGTCCCTGGTGGCAGATGGAAGATTGTGAATCCCACTCCTGACACCAGTTTCTCCGGAATCAAACACAGGACCTAAAAAACCCAATAATCCAGGCTCACTGCAGTTGTTATTTATTCAGTGTCCATTGGAGAAATTTTCCTCCAGAAAATAGTGAGAGGAAACCTTACAGAAAGAAGGATGCACTCATATTTATACAGTCCAGGAAAGGAGGAGAAAATGACAATCATACATATTCATATTTCATTTAATAGATGATGTAAGCATGAATATTCAGAATTAGCAAGACTCAAGTTACCACCCCAGCCTTGTATTGTTGCTACCCTCAAGAAAGAATTATTGTGTAAACAAAAAGAAATATCTCAGTTACGTTGCCACAGCAGTTTGGGTGAAATGTACTGAGAAATGAGGGCATCAACATTGCTCTATACATTCCTTCTATATTTCTGTCTTGCTAACATGCTCTCCTTTCTCCAAGAAATTTGTCTCCTCATAATCTTCCACACACCCTTTATTTATTTCACGAAAAATAGTTGGCTCACTCATACATGCAGAGCAGCTTGGACCATTTTCTATGTTTGGACTGTGGAAAATGTTAAAAGTTGAAACTCCTCAGTCTCACATTTACACATTTCTTCTGGCTGTAAGCTGCTCCTTTGTGAAGGATTCAATCATTTCCAAATTTGAAACATATACATATGATTTTCTTTGATTCATGCCTACTATCTAAATGGAAAGAATATCTCCTTTCAAATAAAAGAAACTTTTAACAATTCTTTCAATATAACATTTGTGTTATATCTCAGGTTTTTACATTAGTTCTGGCTGTGAGCTGCTCTTTTGTGTTGAGGTCTGGCCTCAGAAGGATAACGTAGCACTTGGGGATGAAGATGCAGCCCAGCAGACCAGCACTGGAGGCCAGGATGGAGAAGACCTGCACAGCCACCATGTATTTCCCTTTGGTGCTCAGGTAGGTGGGCACAAAAGTCACCCAGACACTGCAGAAGACCAGCATGCTGAAGGTGATCAGCTTGGCTTCGTTGAAGGCCCCAGGCAGGTTCCTGGCCAGGAAAGCCACCGTGAAGCAGATGGCAGCCAGGAAGCCCATGTAGCTGAGGGTCACGTAGAACATGACAACGGCCCCTTCGTTGCATTGCAGGATGATCTCTCCAGGCTGGGAGTGGAGGTCAGAGTCAGGGAAGGGGGCAGAAACTCCCAGCCAGATGGAGCAGATGACAAGTTGGACAGCAGAACAAGAGAGGATTACAGAGTTGGCCAAGCTCTTCCCTAACCATCTCTTCACTCGGTTTCCTGGTTTTGTGGCCAGGAAGGCCAGCACCACCATGATGGTTTTGGCCAAGAGAGAAGAAACGGCAACTGAGAAGGTGATGCTAAAAACCGTTTGTCGGAGAAGACAGGCAGCTTTCCTTGGTTGACCAATGAAGAGAGAAGGAGACAAGAAGCAAAGCAGGAGGGAGACCAGGAGGATGTAGGAGAGGTCCCGGTTGTTGGCTTTGACAAGGGGAGTTTCTCGGTATTTAATGAATACTATTAAAACAAGGCCTGAGTTTAGGAAGAAGAGTAGGGCAAAAGAGACCAGGATAATGCCCAGTTGTTCCTCATAAGACAAGAAGGTTATAATTTTGGGGATACATTGGACTCTGGCTTCATTTGGGTATTTATCATCTGGACACTTGGTGCATTTTTCCATATCTGAGAAAACAAAAAAGCAATAATTCTTTAATATTCTTTCCTTTTCTCTTGCAAGAAAAATCATCTTTGGATAACAGCTGATACCACAGATGTTTTCCAAGAAGAATTTCTTTACTATTTCACTAAAAAGAACATAAGAAGGATATTTTTTTTCTTAAAAAATGTAGCTAGGTATATGAAGTTGAGGGAGGTTCTAGGATGTTAATTATTTCCTGTGTAATGTGTAGAATCTTCATAGGAACCTACATTATTAGGGGTTAATAATGAATCATATAATCTTTTTAGGCAAACATCCTGAGACCTGCCACATGGAAGTTAATATCCTGGACTTGGAGGATACCTACAGTATTTTGTAACATCTGGAAGTAACCTGGAATTAAGGAGAAACTTCCTATCAGTGAGAGCAATTAGCCAGTGGAACAGCTGGCCTCCAGAAGTTGTGGGTGCTTCAACACTGGAGATTTTTAAGAAGAGACTGGACAGTCACTTGTCTGAAATGGTTTAGGGTCTCCTGCTTGAACAGGGGGCTGGACTAGAAGACCTCCAAAGTTCCTTCTACTCTATTTTGGTTGATTGATTGATCGATCTGTATGGCAGACTATTTGTGTAATGAGTTCCCCCCATAACTATCCACAGCAACAAATTATGGACCAGTGACACCTTCTCAGTGATCCTCAAGGGAGGCCGATAAAAAATGCATTGCAAGGTCTTTCAGAAGGTGGACCTGACCAATTCATCTAGTTTCAAAGATCTCAGATGTTCCTAGAAAGGTAAACTTAGCAGCACATATCCAAACTAAAAAGCAGAAGAGATATTTCCTCTGCTGTTAGTAAAGCTTGCCCAGTCTGCCACCCCCTCCTCCCATCTCTTCCCAGCCCCTCCTTCCAAGTCTTTTTGATTTACTTCCATTTAGATAAGAAATTGTGCAGGTTAAAAATAAAAAACCCAGGTGAACTTCAATCTGTCTTTTAACTTTCATGAAAATGTTCTGGATGGATCCAGTTCCACAAAGCCTCCCATTTTCCTCTGTGTGACCCACCTTCCTGAGTGGAGAAGGTCCCCTCCGGACAAGGAATGCAGTCATAGCAGCAAACTGGCTCTCCTTCTCGAGCCCTCTTGACAAATCCAGGACGACAATTTTCCACACATTTGGACTGAGACAGAGACTGAGCAGAAGAAAAGGAATGGCAAAGGAAAGGTGTTAGGACTCTCTGTCCATGGAAAATGGAGGTAGAAATGGATGGAGATAAGTAGCCTCAGTAACCTGAGGTAAGTATGAAATCTCTGACTATTTCTAAACAGATGCAGGAGGTAAAACAACTGGCAGATTCTTCCTTTAGTTCCTCCCTTTTGCTTTCAGAATTTAATATTACAATAAAGGACTTTTCCATTTAATAAAGTCTTGAGGGATGGAATTGGAAAAAGATTTAAGTATGGTGATATATTCATCTTAAAACTGAGAACAAAGTTTATTGTAAAAGATTGAAGAAACTTTTATTCTATTAGATTTTTTAATATGAAATTAAACTGTGATGAAGAAAGAAACCTCTGACCAGTAAGATCTTGAAAGGTTTCCATAAAACATGGCAAAGCCACTCCACTTAGGTCCCGTCTCTTGAAGAACTTCCATTAGATGACACCAACTGACATGGGAGGCCAACCACCCTGGAGACTCCAAGCTTTGCCCACTTGAAATGGGACCTCAGGCTTTGGAAAACAGAGAAAAGACAGCAAAATTTATCCCACCTTATTGAGCAACTTTAGCCGTGAAAGAGCATCTTGGTTGATAGTAAGTCTCTGTCTCTCAAAATACGCCAGAGTCTCTTTCCTGACATCCTCCTTGGGGAGAACCAAGAAGATTTTAATGCCCAGATCTGCTGTTATCTCTCCATTTTGGTCCAAGTACAGTTTTCTGTCAGAAATATTCCAAAATTCATTCTTCTCCAGAAAGGGATGAAACTAGAATGGGAACATCCAGGAATTTGTAAAACAGAGAACGTTGTTTCTTATTGAATCAATCATGTTGCATTTTTGTAAAAGTTCTAATATTTTTTCTTTTTGAGATAATTTGAATCCTCCTTTGGTCTTATCAATTTGAATGCCCAGATATTTATTTACTTTCCCCAAGGTTTTCAACGTAAAATGTTTCCCCAATTTTTCAGCGAATTCATCACATCCATGTTTGTGTTGCCCAAAATATAAAATGTCATCAACATAGATGAGTACATATTCTGTTGAATTTTCCCCTTTTTTGATAAAGAAGCATAAATCTGCGGACGTGGCTGAAAAACCCATTTCTCTAAGTATCTTTGCCAAACACTCATACCATCTTTTTCCGGATTGTTTTAATCCGTATAAACTCTTATTTAATAATCAAATTTCTCCTTTCTGTATATTATTTCCGGGGGGTGCTCTCACATATATTTCTTTGTCAAGGTCAGCATGTAAATAAGCAGTTTGTACATCAAACTGGTAAACTTCTAAATTCAGAATGGATGCTATTGTTAGTGCGCTTTTGACACTCTCTGACCTCACTGTGGGAGAGTACGTATCTACATAATCATCTGGGAACCGTTGCGCGAACCCTTGAGCCACTAGTCTAGCTTTGTATAAAAATTCATTATTTTCTAGTTCCTTAATTCTGAATATCCATTTAGTTCCAATGGGAGTCTTACCTGCAGGTGGTTTTGCGTATGTATATACATTTAATTCCTTTAAGCTATCCATCTCCCTTTTCATTGCTTGTTCCCACTTGATCTTCTCCTCTTGTGGTAATTTTAGTATTTCCTCATATGTACTGGGTGTTTATTGTATGCATTGATAGATAGTATGTAGTCTTCTAATCTTTTTGGTACTGTGTTTCTGTTGGATCTGATGGGTCTATTGGGAGGTGCCTCAGTATCATGCATATATCTTGCTTCTTTCTTAGTTAGTGTATCTACTTGTATGATGGGGTGATTCCTTTTCCATTCTCTAGTTGTTATCTCTTGGTGTCTGGGTTTGTTAATTTTTTGTGTTTTGAATTCAGTCACATATGGTATGTGTTTTTTATGTGTGTCTATTGTGTTTTCAACTTCAGGGCATAATTCATTTAGATGTATTTTGGACCAATATGCGTGGTCATGGAATACAGCCATTCCAGATATTATGAATTTATTATTTTTGTCTATAAATCGGTACCCTTTGGTCCCTGATTCATATCCCATGAATTTTAATCTTTTTGACACTTTTTCTCCTTTGCGTCTTAATTGTTTTGGAACATAGACATCAGCAGTGACACCGAATATATGTAGATGACCAATTTTAGGTTTCCTGCCATACATGATTTCGTAAGGTGTTTTGCCAATTATGCTAGACTATAATCTATTTATGATGTAATTTGAATATGTAAGTGCTTCGGCCCAAAAATTTTTTTCTAGTCCTGCATCATCTAACACACATCTAACCATGATTTGTAATAAACCATTTTTGCATTTCGCGACTCCATTCTGGAATGCGGAAAAAGGTGAAGATTTGAAATGGAGTATTCCCTGCATTCTTAGCCAATTGGAAAATTCTTTTGACAAAAATTCTGATCCCCTATCTGTCATTATTTGCTTGATTTTTATATTATGTTGGGTCTCTACTCTTTTGTGGAATTCTTTAATTTTTTTAAACACTTCGTTTTTCTGATTGAGTGTGTATACGAAGCCATATCTGCTGAAGTCATCTACTATGGTCAGGAAATATCTCTTTCTATACTTAATTGATGGCTTCATGGGACCAACTAAGTCCATATGTACCAGTTGGAAGATTGAATGTGTGATCCGTGTGGCCTTTCTTGGCCTAGGTTTGTTTTTGAGTTTTGAAGATTTGCACACAGAACATTCTAAAGAATTTTTACAATTTTTTACTTTCATATCATCAGAACATTCTAACATTTTTTGAATAACAGGGAAACTGGCATGTCCCAGCTTCCTATGGAATAAATGTGCGCATTCATCATGCATTGGCTTACCATTGGATATTTTCTCAATAGAAACATTATCATCAGTGTGGTCATTTTTCATGTCATACTCAGTACCTTCATGAATACTTGTCTTATATTTTTTGTTTCCTAACAGTATGTTTGTGTGTGCTGCTTCGTCATCTTTTGGGTGAAAGTATGTCAATCCCTCTTTGGTAACAATATTTCCTATATTCCTTTTGTTTTTAGTCATATACACTTTTCCATTCTTGAATGTAATTTCTATCTCTTTTTCTTCACTTAATTTAAGGGTAGCTAATATGTTATGTGGGATTTCAGGAATAAACAATACCCCCTCTATTTTCCCTATGCCTTTGATGTGTGTGTTGCCTATCCCTTTCACTAAGACTTTGTCTTGATTAGCCACCTTAACATGGTAATTCTTTTCCATGAAATCATTGAGAAGTTCCTTATTATTGGTGGTATGGTTAGTGGCTCCAGAGTCAATGAGCCATGTGTTACTTGATTCTGTTTGTGTGGGTTTGTTATCCCCTAGTCCATATAATGATCCATGTCTATCCTCCTTATAATTGTCTCTGTAACGTTTTCTATCTTTTGTGATGGGTGAGTCTCTACATTTATATCTGTAATCTGGTGAATGTCTGTCTGAGAAGTTAACTCTTCTATCTGACCTCTCCCTGCGATATGATTGGTCCCTATTTCTTGTATGTTTTGGACAGTCTCTCATATAATGGTTCTTTGAACCGCAATATCTGACACTCAAGTGCATATCTACCTCTGCTTTGGAACTCTACCTTCTTTGTAGTCCTACTTTCCCTGTAGTTCATGGAACGTTCCCTTCTCAGATTATCCTCTGAGATGAGTTTGTTTGTAAGTGTTTCCAATGATAGGTTCTCCAAACTGAGACTGTCTAACAGGGTTATGTAGTTATCCCAAGTAGAATCTAATGAGTTGATTATTATACTCTTTAAGCTCCCCTCTGAAATATTTTCCCCTCTTTGACTAAGCTCAGCTCTTGTGGCAATTAAATTTAAAATATGTTCACTCACGGGTGTTCCACTTTTTAGCCTGGCAGAGTGAAACTCCCTAGAAATCTTGGTTGTTGTGGCAACACTCTTACTGTGAAACAAGTTAAACAATTTTTGAAATATTTCAGAAACAGTTAAGTTGTGTTCAATGCTAGGGTAAATGCTAGGTGATATAGTGGCAATGAGAATATAATAAGCCTTATGATGTAAACAGTCCAGTTCAAAAGTCCAGGGTTTGCTGGGAGGATCATTAATAAAAAATAACATGTTTTCTCTTAAATATATGACTTGGAGCTGTTGACTCCATTCCAATAAGTTTGATCCATCTAGTTTTAATTTTATAAAGTCTGCTGGTAAAGCCCCTGGGTTGTGTGAAGAATTACTTACAGTCTGTCGCTGTCTATGGTTTAGGTCTTTAGCGAACTCACAATATGGTGTTGGAATGCTAGAGGTATATCTGTACCGACTTGTGTCTATGCTTTCTTCATTTTTTTCTTGTAGAGATGTTCTGCGCATTCTCGGAGCTCATTTTTCTCCAGCAGTCACCGAGGAAGGATCCTGTGCTCGCGGCTCTCGGGAGAAGGCCCCATTCATCAGGATGTTCTTCTGCCTCGACTCTGGGAGGCCTCAGGTAGTCGATGGTCGCCTGGGAGGTCATTCGAGTCGCCGGGGCATTCCTGCTGCTCTGCTGGTCAGCGAAGTCATCACAGAGGGTCCGGCGGCTCTGTTCCTCTGCGCGGCTGCAGAACTGGGCCTGGTCTGGATCATCAACATCGGGATACATTGACTGCTCAGCGTGATGTCTTCTGATCGGTGAGCATGATCTTTTATTTCTGGGTTCTTGAGCGGTTTACGAGTGCGCCTGGCAGCTGGTTTCGGTGGGTGGCGGCTTTTAAGTCTTTTTGCGTGTGGCAGCTTCTTCTTTTATGTAGTTTAATTCAGTTTGTTGTTTGTCATAGGTAGGTTTAGTGGGTTTTCTCTGATCATCTGGCTGTGGGTCTGGTAATTTTAGTTTTTTTCCAAATGCCGCGGTTAATACTCGCATGGCATTATTTATTTCTAGCGTGAAAGGCGGGCTAGATGAATCATCCTTTAATAGTTTATCGTTTGTTTCTGTTGTTTGGTAGGTGTTTTTTTCGTAGGCCCCGCTTCCCACCTTGGGATTCTAATTTTGAAATCCCATTGGCTGCTGGTCGGCCATCTTTAATGAGTTTGTCATGCAAGATGGCCTCCATGAAAAAGGCGCGAAATTGTCGCCGGCTTCATCGTCAGTTATACAGTTAGTATTTGGTTTTCCTACCTCGCTTTCTTCATCTCGGCTGGATTCATCTTCCTCCTCATCTGTCGCTGCTCCGTGATTTTCTATGAGATTGTGGAGTTTTGCTAACAGATTTGGATCATTCGGGATTTCTTCTATCAGTTTAATTATTTTCTTTTTCATGTCATCCTCTTTTTTGATGATTGAGGGAGTATCTTCATTTTTGGTTTGTTGTTCCATGATGTCTGGCAGTATCTCAGTATTGGAAAATCTCTCGTCTTTCTCCGCCTTTTCTTTCAATGTGGTTTCTGTAGGAGTTAGTTGAGCTGCTATTCTTTTTTTGAGTGATCTGGTGATAGGTCTTCTTTTACCTTCATCCAGCTTTGGAGTTTCTTGCATCTTTGGATTGGTTGGGCCTTCAAACCATCCTCTGCTACCAATCTGTTGCTATTATTTCTTTTATATAGGCTCAATAATCAGGATGCAAGTCATGAGAGTTTAAACAGTATTTATTTCTTGGTTTCTATCACAGGAGAACATCAGGCAAGCTAAGCTCGCAGTCCAGAACATCAGTATATATACACAGAAGGAGGAGTCAAAGGTAAGGAGGAGTCAGTGGGAGGGACAATTGATATGTCAAGGATTAACCCCTACATATATATATAAATTTATATATATAAATTTTCTTACTTCTTCGTAGGGTTTATGTGTGTTTTTCTTCTAGCCAGGTTTTCCCTACATAACCAAGGTTTTTTGTAGCTCCAGCTCAGTAGAATCACATCCACTCGATTCTGGGCTTTTTTTCTTTTCTAACAGCTAGCAAGCTCTTACTGCTAGGTGGGAGACCTAAATAGATCCATTTCTAGCTTGTTTGCTTTCATCAGTAGGCCACACCCATATCTTATGTATCCTCCCTGTAAAGGTACAATACCAATTTTCTTACTTCTTCGTAGGGTTTATGTGTGTTTTTCTCCTAGCAAGGTTTTCCCTACGTAACCAAAGTTTTTTGTAGCTCCAGCTCAGTAGAATCTATTTAGGTCTCCCACCTAGGGGGGAAAAAGGTATGACTTATACTCCGAAAAATATGGTAACTGGAAACAGAATCTGAGTCAAAAAGGAGATGTTCATGGAAAGAAGGCAAATGCAGCCATAAGAATCTCAGGAAGTGAACGTTGTGGTTTGGGGAGACCCCAACTCAAGGACCAGGTCCCCTTGCAGGCACCACTCTTGGAGGAGAAAATCTACGTGTGAACTTCAGGGAAAGAGAAATAAGCCAAGGAAGAGATCAAAGGAGCTGCTCTTAGCCTTGAGGAAAGAGAACAACAAGAAGAGCTGAAGATCAGGAGGAGTCTGGGAGCCCCTTTTCCAACTGACACAATCTCTCGGTTGGAGAAGGGAGGATGCAGCCCTCTTCCAATCACTGACACACGTTAAACATGAATGTAAGATCTGCTCACTATTATTCCAGAGGGTCAAACACAGAAAAATGAATTCAGTTACAAGAGAGATTTTAGCTGAATGAGAGAAAAAAATATGATAAAAGGATGACTTGTTTCAGAGCAGAGCCAGTGAAGCAGAGAAGTTCAGTCTCATCTTCATGGATCGTCTGAGTGCAAAGACTGAGCAGCCATCAGTCAGAGAAGCTTTAACTGGGATTCCTGCAGAGAGGAGGGGTTGGGCTAGATGGCCTCAGGGTCTCCTCTATTGTGCAGTTGTTGCTCTAGCCCCACCTAGTGGCCAGGGGCAGATAAGCCTAACTGTATGGTCTGAAGCCAGACTCCCTTTTCTGTCAGCCTTTGGAAGAGACGGAAGCAGCCGGTTTGACCAAGAAAAATGGTCATCCAGAGACAGCCTCCGTCCCTCACACGGATCATCGCTGGAGAGTTTCCAGCTGCTTCTTTGTTGGCTGTTAGTTAATGCTGCCTATCGCCTATTTCTATTTATATTTTCACTCTTTGCATTTCCTCAGTTTCTCCGTGCCCTTTTCTCCCAATGAAACACCCAGATCCACCCCAGGCTCCCTTTCACTGGAGGAGAATAGAGGGGTTTAGCTGCCTGTTGAGCTGCACACAGACCCACCTGCAGTGGGGACGGAACAAAGGGAAAATTCCACCATGCTCATCACAAACCCACAAATACAGGAATTCATTTTAAAAAGAATAAAGCATTTTCAAATTAGCAGTGTGTAATATTAAAATGCCATGGTGTCTACTCTTTGGAACCATTATTTCCTGAGTAATTGAATTGGACAGATCTGTTCAGGTGGTTCCCCTCCTTCTCCTCTGGATTCCTCCTCCAAAGGATCTAAGATTAATGGATCCAGATCAGGACCCCCATACCTGCCACGGCTGCAGCCTTGGAGACCCCAAACTCTTTTCTCCCTCCTTCCTTCTCCTCCTCCTCGATCTGGAGGAATAAGCGGCATTCAAGGCCTGGGCCAGAGTCTTCATGAAACTGTAATCATGGTAGTGACTTGGGATCTGGATCCTGTTCCTTTTCTTCTGGGTCTCCAGTGGGGCTTTCTGGATGCATCTTCTGCGGCCTTTGACAGAAAAGACGTTCTTTGAAAGAGAACAGCGGAAATAAGGTTCTTGAAACTCTTTTTCCACAAAGAAATGGGGTTCAAAGGCAGAATCCTTTGGCCTTTTTTTTGGCAGATAACCAAAGTTCCAAATACTATGGATGTATTTGAGAAGTCTATGTTTGTTCATTGTATATCCAAAAAAATTTGTGAGGATCCAGATGTTCCCTTCAGTGGGTCCTGGCAGACGCACAAATGTTTCATGGAAAGGAAGAATTCTCTCCCAAATGGAAACATTTTCTATGAAGTGAACAAAGACGTTGACTTGTCTCCACTTAGAGAGGGAATCCCTGAGGGCTGTTGTGTATCCAGTTGTTGAGAACAGTTGTGATATAACAACACAAATTCCATTCCTGACAAGCATAGGAGGGAAAGTCCTCATGAAATTCTCTCCATTTTCTGTGTCTGAAGCAAAGAGGCCAATCAGGGTCCATCTGAAATGGAGGAGCAGGTGGACAATTGCTGGGTACTGGATCCCTTCTTTGGGATTCATCCGGTGGAAAAAGGGAAATTGACTTTTATCACTCAGAGCCTCTGAAGCAGATTTAAGACTGATCTGAAAAAGCAATGAGGAATGCTGTGTTACATTTGAAATCAGATCAAGTCCAAAATATTAGATTTTAATAAATGCAACCTGATTCCCCTGAATGTATTAGAATAGTTTGTTAATCAGAAATTATTTAAAATATTAAAGACAGAATATTAGCAAGATTGTATCATAATAATGGAAAATAATAAGCAAATTAAAAAACAATAAAAATGTCAATCATATTACTGTATCACCCCTACAATTGATCACAATTAGATTAACACGTGAAAATGCCAACTGGAGTATTCTATTCCAATAAAGGGCCTATTATAATTTTTGAGAATTGCTGCATCTTTTTTTGCTTCTATATCCCAGATTCTTTCTGGAGGAAATTTTTTAACTTCTTTCTCCAGTTATACAAGAAACAGGCAGACCTCAAAGCCTAATAAGATTTGTCAATTGCATAATCCAAGTTTGGTCTTTAATTGAAGTTTTGTCTGTTCCAACAGCCACAATTTTCAGACTCTGTCAGTTTCCATAGATTGAATTTTATGCCACTGCCCATATTTTCTGAATTTAGACAAAGCAGAAATTGCGTAAATTCCCAAATCAGCTCTGAGGGCAGCAGCTGGAGTCCTTTTACCCACCCCAAGATCCTCCTCAGAGGCTGAGATTGGGTTGGTTCTGCTGGTGGTTTCTCTCTGGAGCCCCAAACATCAGATTGATGTAAGAACATGGGGGAAAACTGGGCCTCAGATACTTTAATAATTGGGGCTGAAGAAGCTGGAGAGCTAAGAGGTTTTAATTTAAGCACCACTTTCACTCCTGCCCTTTCTCTAACTGAGCTCCTTGGATGATGAGGGAGCCAAGATTCAGGCTCAGAGAAAACAACCCCAGGTAAGGAAAGGTGTTACTTGCTCTAATGGCTGACCGTCTATGGCTATGATGTCATTTCACAAAGACCATAACTTTTGAACTTGCTTTATAAATTATCAGATAATTATTAAGACAAAACAATCCAAGTCTATACAATACAATGTGTAAGTATGAGAATATCACATTATCTGTGTAAATCAGTGTATTCCAATAGGAATTTAGCAGGCTAAACATGTGTACCTATAACAGAACTTATAACAAAATAAAAGGGTTGGAAGGGACCTTGGAGGTCTTCTAGTCCAACCCCGTTCAAGCAGTAAACCAGGCATAATAGCAGTAACTGTGAGAGGGATCCTGGAGTCTTCGTGGACAACCACTTAAATATGAGTGAAGAGTGTGCAGCGGCAGCCAAAAAAGACAATGCAATCCTAAATCGCATTAACAGAGGGATACAATCAAGATCAAGAGAGGTACTAATACCACCCTCTAAAGCCTTAGTAAGACCACACCTAGAATACTGCATCCAGTTTTGGTCACCACACTATAAAAAAGACGTTGAGACTCTAGAAAAAGTGCAGAGAAGAGCAACCAAGAGGATTAGGGGACTGGAGGCTAAAACATACAATGAACGGTTGCAGGAACTGGGCATGGCTGGTCTAGTGAAGAGAAGGACCAGAAGAGACATGATAGCAGTCTTCCAATATTTGAGGGGCTGCCACAGAGAGGAGGTGGTCAAGCTATTTTCCAAAGCACCCAAAGGCTGGACAAAGGCCAGACAAGGAATAATGGATGGAAACTGAACAAGGAGAGATTCAACCTGGAAATAAAGAGATAAAGTTGCCTTCAGAAGTTGTGGGAGCTTCATCACTGGAAGCTTTCAAGAAGAGGCTGGACCGTCATCTGTCAGAAATGGTGTAGGGTCTGCTTGGACTAGATGACCTACAAGGTCCCTTCCAACTCTCTTAATCTGTATCTATCTATACTGTTCCAGACAAGTGGCTGTCCAGTCTCTTCTTAAAAGCCTCCAGTGATGGACCACCCACAATTTCTGAAGGGGAGACGTTCCATTCCTCACCATTAGGAAATTTCTCCTTAGTTCTAGATTGTTTCTCTCCTTGATTAGTTTCCCTCCATTGTTTCTTGTCTTGCCTTCTAGTACTCTGGACAATAGGTGGACCTCCTCTTCTCTGTGGCAGCCCCCCAAATATTGGTACATTGCTATGATGTCACCCTTAGTCCTTTTCACTAGACTAGACATACTGAATTCCTGCAACTGTTCCTCATATGTTTTAGTCTCCAGGCCCTTAATCATCTTTTCTGCACTCTTTCCAGAGTCTCTACATCTTTTTTGTAATATGGAGACTAATACTGGATGCACTATTCCAAGTGTGGTCTTGCCAAGGCATTATAATATGGTACCAATACTTCATGTGATGTTGATTTTATCCCTCTGTTAATGCAACCTAGGACTGAATTAGATTTTTTAGCTGCTGCTGGCTCATATTTAAGCGATTGTCCACTAGGACTCTACCTAAAACCTTCTGCAAGGAATGAATTTTTCTCAAGCTTACCTAAGAGGATCATGACATAAATTTTAGCCACAATATCTGCTAGTCTATTTGGCCTATAATTGCTAGAGTAATTTTTATTCCACTTTTCAGATGAATAAAATGCTACTATTGCCAACTTCAATCTGAGTGCATATGGCAGGCATTATTTATGTGTGAAAATGAAGATGCCAATAGAGGCCCCAAGAACCAGGGATATTTTTTGATCAGTTAAATAGTTGGTAGAAAGTCTTCTCCAGGGAATGTATTGCTTGCATTTCAGGCCTTTTATGATTAATCTCAACATGAAGATAATGGGGTAAAATATTGACATTTTTGCTAACTTGGAGAAAAGCAGCTCTTGAATTTCATGGAGAAGACATGATTGCATCTATTGCTCACCCACCACCACCCACCCCTCACTTTACCAGAAGGAGAAACACACACACAAACCTGTGAGACTTTGTAGGTGCCTCCTAATGTTGACATCTGGATGGAGATCTCCCTCCTGGCTCCATCAAGAAGAGCTAGGAGGTTCTCCTTCCTTCCACAGCTGTAGTTGGGGACATTGGCTTCTCCAGTGGAGAGCATGTCCATCAAGGCATCTGAAGTGTGGAAAGTGCTCAAATAATTGTTATGGATGTTGTAGCCAAGTGTGAGATTGTGCAAGAGATGGGAATTCTTGTTGACCAGTTGAATGTTGAAAATTAATATTAAGCAATAAGAAAATTCATTAAAAGTCCTATTGAAAAAAAAGTTATTATAATCAACAGCCACAACAAATACTTTTGTTATATGTAATATATATAATCCTCCACAAGTCTACTGAGCCTTAAACCAACATTGATCCAAAAGCAAAGATCAGTTACACAAATATGGGAATGGGCTGAGGTACGGCAACTACAACTGATTCCACCACTAATTTAAATAAAATTCATTATCCAAGTGATAAATTAAGGATTGAACTGAAGGAGGAAAATAATCTGCAGGCCTTTCACCTTTTTTTCAGACCCCTTTTTGAGTCTCTTTCACAAAATCAGACCAAAGAGAGAAGCCATGGAAATCAAAATTATTCAGGAAATTAGACATATTCCCCAATATAGGAAGAAATGAAAAATAAAAAACAGAAAAGAAGGAGGGTGTTAGAATGGAGGGACAGCAACTCCATCATCCTGAATGACTTACGGATCATGGAAAACAAACTGAAGAGAAGGAGCCACGTTGAAAAGCAACTTTGTACGCAATATTTTATTTCCACTGGTGACTATACTGATCAGATGGTCTCCTGGTCTGTAAAAGCTCCGTGGTTTTCCATCCTGGTTCTCCAAACTCAGCGGGCATTTCATTCCCAGCTTCCCAGAGACTGGATGGGACAAAAGCAGCATCAGAGGCAGAAGCAGGAGGTCCATAATTCATGGCGTGAATCTGTGAATCCCTTTCTTGTTTCTAAAGAAGAATTGGAAGAATTCAAAGGAGTCTCACAAGGTGGAATATGATCTAGTTGCTTTCCTTCTTCAAACACAGAGAAACACTCAGCTTCACCTGAAAAGGAGAGAGACGTAGATTCAAGAGCACAGACTCTGCCTGTCCCAAAACTCCATATTTCTCTGCCCAAAGTCTCCCCTGGAGGATTCAGCCCAACAGCAGAGCTGAAACTTTTACCATAATTCTCCCTCTCAGTAGGGATCCCTGGATAATTCAAGTAGTTCTTGGACTTGGAGATTGTTGGGAAATTCTCTGGAGGGAAATGAAAGGGAAATAATCCCCATGTGATTCATAATAACAGGGGCAGAGATGGAATTAAATCAGTCATCTAGAATTGAGAGTTTTGGGAGCTCCATGCACGGATATATGGCATCTGTGGCTGAAATAACAAATAAATCTGATATTTGTTTGCCTAGTGATGAAAGAGAAAACTCCAGGGGCCAGTTAATTCCGGAGCCTGCCATAGATCTGAAATAGCTGCCAGCTGAGTTGGAACCAAAATTTACTTTATTTTGAAAGCTAATGCTCAAGGGCATCGCACAAAAGGGCTGATGCAATAGTGTGGCCAGACTCCAAGAACAAAATCAACTTTAATGAAAAACTAGTTTTTCGAACTTTGCAGTTTAAAAAATCAGAGAGAGAGAGAGGGTGGGAGGGAGGGAGGAAGGGAGAGAGAGAGAAGTTAGAAAAAATAGTGAAAAGAGATGGAGAAATCAAGGCTGCCTCTCACCTCATGTGGGGAGGGGAGGGAGGGAGGGAAGGGGAGCTCAGGACCCTCGTGTTGCAGATGGAAAGCTGATCTTCAAAATCCAACTTCCATCTTCAGAGACCTGGGAATGCAGAAGCCCATGTCCCATGTTCCCCTGCCAGCCTTTTCCATGCAGAGGCCAGACAAGGGGGCTCTTGCAGGAATCCCAGACAGGACTCTATCCGGCTGAGTGGAGAGCCCCTCTAGGGAGAAGGAAGCTGGGGAGCCTCATGTTGGGGAAGGGAAGCAGATCTCCAGGTTCCATGTTCTGAGTCCTGGGAAGGGGGGAGACCATATCCCATGTTGCTCAGCCACCTCTTTCCATGCATGGGGCACCCAGGGCAAAGCAAAGCCCAGACCCATGGAGAAAGCCCAGGCTGGCCATAGAGGAGGAGGGGATCTGGGGCATTCCTGGGAAGAGACTAACATGGTTTATGGGTCCCAGGGTTGAATGTTGGGGGGGAGACGCAGCCCCCGGGGTTTCTCCAGCCTCGCTTGGGTTCCGTGACTTTCCAGGAGAGGCTCCTGTGGGGGAGAAGCCATGCAGGGCTGGGTCTTCCAAGGGGGATCCGGGGTTGCCCAGGAGGAAAAGGCAGCCAACCTCACCCTGGAGGGGACCCTCTGTGACTCTGAGGAAGATGGGGGTCCCCTGTGGCCCCTCCAGAGCCCCCAGCTGAGGAGAGCCTCTTCATTGCAGCCTTTTCTGGGGAAGGGGCTTAAGCCCCCCTCCCTCTGCAATTCTGGGAGGTTTTGCCTCTTTCTCATCCCTCCCAAAGCTCTGAATTTTGCTCTTTATTTGACCGTCCCCCCCACTTGGCTTGGCTTCTTCAGCCTCTTCTCCATCAGGCTGAGGGCAGGGAAGCTCCCAGGCAACCGTCTCTTCCCCCCATTTGATTGGCTACAGGGTTGTCATGACTAAGGTGATCAGATTTTAACATTGGTAAAGAGGGACACCATTGACCGGGAGGGGGGGGTTAAATTTTTTTTACTACCAGTTCTGTGGGCGTGGCTTATTTTATGGGTGTGGCTTGGAGGTCATGTGACTGGGTGGCCATGGCTATGTGTATACTATAGGGACTACTCAGAGGGCTGAAAAAAGGCATTTCTGACAGGTCCTCGCACTTTTGACTGGTCCTCACACTTATAACCATCCTCACATTTATGCCCATTGTAGCATTCTTAACAACCGTGTCACTCATTTCACAACTGCTTCTCTTCACCATGGTGACAAGATAGGGCAAAAATGTAAAATGTGAGGACAGTCGTAAGTTCGAGGACTGGTCAAAAGTGTGAGGACCAGTCAGAAATAACTTTTTCAGCCCTCTGAGTAGTCCATATGCACAAAAGGACTACCCAGAGGGCTGAAAAAAGTGATTTCTGACAGGTCCTCGCACTTTTGACCGGTCTTCGCACTTATGACTGGTCATCATTTATGCCCATTGTAGCATTCTTAACAACCGTGTCACTCATTTCACAACTGCTTCTCTTCACCATAGTGACAAGATAGGGCAAAAATGTAAAATGTGAGGACAGTCGTAAGTTCGAGGACTGGTCAAAAGTGCGAGGACCAGTCAGAAATAATTTTTTCAGCCCTCTGAGTAGTCCATATGCATAAAAGGATACAGCAATAGAGAGGGATGAAGGAAGGGAAGGGAAATTAGAGTAGGAGTGAGGGTAAGAGAGGGAGGAAGAGAGGAGGAGAAGGAGAAAGGAAGAGGAAGTAGGGAGGAGAAGAAGAGGGGGAGGAGAAAAGTAAGAAGGAAAGAAAAGAGAGAGGTGGTAGGTTTGAGGAGAAAGATTGCTATACAATAAAAAAGATGAAATGGAAGAAAGGCAACCCCAAACAAATAGAAAGATATTAAGATAAGGAATGAATTGTTAAACTTTAAAGAATAAAAGAGAACAAATATGAATAAATAGCAATAATTAGAAACACACATACAAACATACAATGTATTTTCTTTGAACAGAATATTTGGCCGGTTCACAAATTTAAACAGTGTTTAGTCATTTCAATTAAATTTACAATTTCTATATTTCCTTTTTGCCATATTTATTCCTCATCTATTTTTTAAAAAAACAATATTACCCTTCATCCTCATCTCTAATCTTAATCAAATTCAATTTTTCTCTTCTATTCTATATTATACCCCTTCCCATTGTCATCTATTTTTATATCCATCCTCACATTGGTTAATTATGTAATTATGTAATACAGTTGTTTAATACAAATTCAACATTTTAATATAAATCAGTTAGTTATATAACTATCTTTTTTGTATATTAATCAATATGAACATGAATATTCCAATTATTTCCATGCAATCCAATTTCTTACAAATTAATTATATTTACCAATAATAATAAACCAAATAATTTCCCCCATATATTCCTTCAAACCACAACTTAACCATTTCTGCTTTCAACACAATATACAATTAATAGTATCTCAATTATTACAATTCCCTAGTTAAATAGAGCGTTTTTTCTTTTGTGTTTTAAAATCTTGAACCTCCTCTTTTGCCCTAAATTTCCCATTGTTTGCAGTTTTGCACCTACCTTTTTTGGTCAGGAAAAAGAAAAAGAAAAAGAAATCTCTCTCTGCCTCATTTTGTCATGTTGCAGCAAAGACCCTCTTTACTTTCAGTTTCACTTTTTCAGCATAGCTAGGGGAAAAAAAATCTGCTCCAGCAATTTACCTCTTTGCAGCTAGCTAGCAACAGAGCCCTCTGCAAAACAGCTGAGATCAAATCAGCTGAGAGTCGGGAGGCTGATCAAATCAATTTATGGTAATTAACCTATGCTGAAGCTGAAAGGGGCTGTTTTTTCTATTTTTGCAGGCACCAGTCTACTCATTTGTTTTCTTTTAACACTGATCAGCTGTAGGGCGGCCCTTTTTAAGCCCTGCGGCAAGAATTTAAACAGTTTTTTTCCCTCTAGCCATCAGCTAGGACTCAGCAATAGATTGGGGGTGGGCGCGGTAAGCGAACGGGGACCAGCGATCCAACAGAGGCAGAGGGTGAGGGTAAGTGAAAACTGTATATTCCCGTCCCGTTCTCCCACCATTCCCTAGCTTGTCCTGCATTCTTTCCAAAAATTGGGACTTTTTTAAAACGCTGCGGGACGCGGGACAAATTGCTAAAAATCGGGACTGTCCTGCCAAAAGCGGGATGTCTGGTCACCATAGTCATGATGAAGGGGTTGGGAATAGAAGCAGCCACTAAAGAGGCGGGATTTTTGTCTTCCCTGAGAACTGGAGGGTTTGAATGCGAAATCTGCTTTCTTTTAGGAAATCCTGCTCAGATGAAGCCCAGAATCAGAAGGAGAGACAAGATGGAGAAAATAAAGCAACGTTTAAAAGATATATTTAAAAACGAAAGAAAAATTAAAACTTTGAGAGAACAAGAATAGAAAACAGAAACTAAAAACAGATTTTAAAAAAGATCAAAGTCTGTAGGAAAAAGAATGATCGTACAGAGTCCCTTATATTATGGCTACAGTGTATCTCTGAGCTGTAACTTAAAAAAACATGGAAACCAAATATCTTTTCCAGTAGGTGGCAGTATTAAACACTCTCCTAACTTCCCTATTTTAAATATTTTATTATTTTAAAGTCTAGGTCTTTTCTGTTTAAAATTAATACAGAATTACAAAGGGAGAAAAAGGAAAAGGAAAGAAAAAGAAAAAAAAGAAAAAAGTGTCCGTCTAAGCAGTCAAACCAATCTCTTCAATTGTTTTCTTTTAAAAAGGCAGAGTTTAAAAAATTAGCAATGCTAATCTTCTCACTTCTCAGTCCAGTCCCGGGCTATAGTGAAAGTGAAACAATTAAGTCTTTCAAATTAGATAATTGGGTGTTAAAAGAAAAACTTTTCCCAGATCATTCCGCCGCTTCTCCTCTCTTACTCTCTATCTCCAGCTTCAAAAATCTTTTTCCTTTAGGGTGTTCTTTGTATCATTTGAAGAAGTAAAGATTCTCTCACCGAGCTGATTCGCTGTCATTCCTTTCTCTCTTCCTGAAACTGCCCCAGCCTTGGCAGCCTCAGGGACTGCTGCTCCGATGCCAGAAAAAGAACTTTCCTGGATCAACCAGGGACTTTGCGATGTCCCCTGGGATCCACAGGATATGCTCTCCACTACTACAGTCAAAACTAGACTGTGGGGTCCGAGATGGACCGTCCAGCCAGTGGAGTCATCGGCAGGAATTCTGGAGCCCCAGAAATTCCCGTCCATCTCGCAGCGGCATCAGCTTCCGGCCCCCCAAATATCCTGATAAACCTTAATCTATTTCTTATTGTCATGCTTTTAATTCTGTAATTATCTGTTTTCTGTCATTTTGGTTTTCTTATAGGAATAATATCTCTTCTGCAGGAGGGCCGAATGTCAGCCTCCGCTTTTTCATTGCTTGCTCGGCTGCCATGAAACGGGGGGAGGGGGCAGCTATTGGAATTCTTGGGGAGGGGGCTGGTGAAGAAGAAGAGAGAAACTTTGCTTTAGCATTTCTTTGAAGCTGATAACAACTCAAAGTCAACTGCCGTGGCATAGCAGAAGGATGGCACCACCAGACGTTGCACCCACTTGACCCCTGGGGAATTGTGGATTGGATGATTTATGCTGGACAGTGGGGGGAAGGCTTTGGGGGTGCTTTCTATATGTAATTTTTGTGCCTTTTGCTTCAGACCTTGCTTTCCTTTGGCTGCATTCAGTTCATACTCAGTAAAAGTACCTTTCTCTATGAAAATGGAGTTGGGGCATGTCTGACACCTGCATGGCTTCTCCCGCACAGGAGCCTCTCCTGGAAAGACACGGAGCCCAAGCCAGGCTGGAGAAACCCCGGGGGCTGCGTCCCCCCAACATTCAACCCTGGGACCCATAAACCAGGTTAGTCTCTTCCCAGGAAGGTCCCAGATCCCCTCCTCCTTCCTGGCCATCCTGGGCTTTCTCCGTGGGTCTGGGCTTTGCTTTCCCCCCTGAGTGCCCCATGCGTGGAAAGAGGTGGCTGAGCAACATGGGATATGGTCTCCCCCCTTCCCAGGTCTCAGAAGATAGAAGTTGGATTTTGCAGATCAGCTTTCCATCTGCAACACGAGGGTCCTGAGCTCCCCTTCCCTCCTTTCTTCCCTCCCTCCCTCCCTCCCCTCCCCACATGGAGACAGAGGCAGCCTTAATTTCTCCATCTCTTTTCACTTGACTTTCTCTAACTTCTCTCCCTCTCTCCCCACCCCTTTCCCTCTCCCTCTCCCTGTGATTTTTTTTAACTCTGCAAAGTTCTAAAAACTAGTTTTTCACTAAAGTTGATTTTGTTCTTAGAGACTGGCTGCACTATTGCATCAGCCCTTTTCTGCGATGCCCTTGAGCATTAGCTTTCAAAATAAAGTAAATTTTGGTTCCAACTCAGCTGGCAGCTATTTCAGATCTGTGGCAGGCTCTGGCATTAACTGGCCCCTGGAGTTTTGTCTTTCACCACTAGGCAAACAAATATCAGATTTATTTATTATTTCAGCCACAGATGCCATGTATTCCCTGCATGGAGCTCCCAAAACTCTCAATTCTAGATGATGGATTTAATTCCATCTCTGCTTCTGTTATTTTGAATCACATGGGGATTATTTCCCTTTCATTTCCCTCCAGAGAATTTCCCAACAATCTCCAAGTCCAAGAACTAGTTGAATTATCCAGGGATCCCTCCTGAGAGGGAGAACTGTGATAAAAGTTTCAGCTCTGCTCTTTGGCCAAATCCTCCAGGGGAGAGTTTGGACAGAGAAATATGGAGTTTTGGGACAGGCAGAGTCTGTGCTCTTGAATGTATGTCTCTTTCCTTTTCAGATGAAGCTGAGTGTTTCTCTGTGTTTGAATCAGTAAAGCATCTGGATCATATTCCATCTTGTGAGAGTCCTTTGATTCTTCTAATTCTTCTTTAGAAACAGGAAAGGGATTCATCGATTTACCCCATGAATTATGGACCTCCTGCTTCTGCTTCTGATGCTGCTTTTGTCCCATCCAGTCTCTGGGAAGCTGAGAATGAAATGCCCGTTGAGTTTGGAGAACCAGGATGGAAAACAACCACAGAGCTACTACAGCCCAGGAGACCATCTAATCAGTATAGTCACCACTGGAACGGAAAGATTGCGTACAAAGTTGCCTTTCAACGTCGCTCCTTCTCTTCAGTTTGTTTTCCGTGATCCGTAAGTCATTCAGGGTGATGGAGTTGCACTCCCTCCATTCTAGCACTCTCCTTTTCTGTTTTTAATCTTTCATTTCTTCCTATATTGGGGAATATGTCTAATTTCCTGAATGATTTTGATTTCCATGGCTTCTCTCTTTGGTCTGATTTTGTGAAAGAGACTCAAAAGGGGGTCTGAAAAAAAGCTGAAAGGGCTGCAGATTATTTTCCTCCCTCAGTTCAATCCTCAATTTATCACTTGGATAATGAGTTTTATTTAAATTAGTGGTGGAATCAGTTGTACTTGCTTTACCTCAACCCATTCCCATATTTGTGTAACTGATCTTTGCTTTTGGATCAATGTTGGTTTAAGGCTCAGTAGGCTTGTGGAGGATTATATATATTATATGTAACAAAAGTATTTGTTGTGGCTGTTGATTATAACAACTTTTTTTTAATAGGTCTTCTCACAAATTTTATTATTGCTTACTATTAATTTTCAACATTCAACTGGCCAACAAGAATTCCCATCTCCTGCACAATCTCACACTGGGCTACAACATCCATGACAACTATTGGAGCACTTTACGCACTTCAGATGCCTTGCTGGACATGCTCTCCACTGGAGAAGCCAATGTCCCCAACTACAGTTGTGGAAGGAAGGAGAACCTTCTGGCTCTTCTTGATGGAGCCAAGAGGGAGATCTCCATCCAGATGTCAACATTAGGAGGCACCTACAAAGTCCCACAGGTTTGTGTGTGTGTTTCTCCTTCTGGTAAAGTGAGGGGTGGGTGGTGGTGGGTGAGCAATAGATGCAATCATGTCTTCTCCATGGAATCAAAGAGCTCCATATTAACAAAAACATCAATATTTTACCCCATTATGTTCATGTTGAGATTAATCAGAAAAGGCCTGAAATTCAAGCAATACATTCCCTGGAGAAGACTTTCTACCAACTATTTAACTGATCAAAAAATATCCCTGGTTGTTGGGGCCTCTATTGGCATCTTCATTTTCACAGATAAACGATGCCTGCCCTATCCAGTCGGATTGAAGTTGGCAATAGTAGCATTTTATCTATCTAAAATGTGGAATAAAAAGGACTCTAGCAATTATAGGCCAAATAGACTAGCAGATATTGTGGCTAAAATTTATGCCATGATCCTCTTAGTTAAACTTGAGAAAAATTCATTCCTTGCAGAAGAACCAGAATGTTTTAGGTAGAGTTAAATGCTATATTGATTTTGTATGAAATAATGCATAAATTAATAATCTAACATTGGCAACAAGTTTGTCTTGAAATATCTAATCTATATCAGTGAGGTAAAACAAGGTTTGCTGCTTTCTAGATGTTAGTGCAGCATTTGACTCAATAAACAGAGAAATATGATGGAGAAAATTGATTGCCCTCAAAATGGAGCTCAGCCTGTTGGCCCTGATCCAAGCCCTTGTTTGAGGTGGGGGGGGTTGGGCTCAATGGAGCCATGAGAAAAAGGATCTATGCTTATCAAGGAGGAAGGGAAAGGTTTGTATTTGAACCTTTATTATTCAATCTAGATATGAATGACTTACTACGACTAATGCAGGGTCAAAAAACAGATAATTAATAAATGTTATTTCATTCTTTGACAAAAATGACTAAATTAGTGGACCAGTGAAATGCAGTGCATGTAGTATACAGTACTTGGATTTCAGAAAGGCTTTGACAAAGAAACCACAACCTATTTCTCAGGAAGCTGAAAATATGTGGGATAGACGGCATCACCCCCAGATGGGGCTCAGCCTGTGGTCCTCAATGGAACTACGTCTGCATGGAGGGAAACAAGCAGTGGGGGACCCCAAGGTTCCATTTTAGGCCCAGTTCTCTTCAAAATCTTCATCAATGATTTGGATGAGGGGAGAAATGGGGAAATCATCAAATTTGAAGACAACACTAAAGTGGCAGGAATAGCCAACACCCCAGAAGATAGGCTGAACATCCAGATCGATCTAGGGAGACTTGAATCCTGGGTCTATCTAATAAAATGAAATTTAATGTAGAGAAAGGTAAAGTTTTATACTTAGGCTAGAAAAACCAAATGTACACATACAGATGAGGTGAAACCTGGCTCAATAAGTGTAACTGTGAAAAGGATCTTGGAGTCCTAGTGGACAATCACTTAAATATGAGCCAGCCGCAGCTAAAAAAGCTAATTCAATCCTAGGTTGCATTAACAGAGGGATAAAATCAAGATTACATGAAATATTGGTACTGCTTTATAATGCCTTGGCAAGACCACACTTGGAATTGTGCATCCAGTTTTAGTCTCCATATTATAAAATGATGTAGAGACTCTGGAAAGAGTGCAGAAAAGATGATTAAGGGTCTGGAGACTAAAACATATGAGGAACAGTTGCCGGAATTCAGTATGTCTAGTCTAGTGAAAAGGACGAGGGATGATATCATAGCAATGTACCAATATTTGGGGGGCTGCCACAGAGAAGAGGAGGTCCACCTGTTTTCCAAAGTACTAGAAGGCAAGACAAGAAACAATGGAAGGAAACTAATCAAGGAGAGAAACAACCTAGAACTAAGGAGAAATTTCCTAATGGTGAGAAATGGAATGTCTCCCCTTCAGAAATTGTGGGTGGTCCATCACTGGAGGCTTTTAAGAAGAGACTGGACAGCCACTTGTCTGGAATAGTACAGATAGATACAGATTAACAGAGTTGGAAGGGACCTTGTAGGTCATCTAGTCCAAGCAGACCCTACACCATTTCTGGCAGGTGACGGTCCAGTCTCTTCTTGAAAGCTTCCAGTGATGAAGCTCCCACAACTTCTGAAGGCAACTTTATCTCTTTATTTCCAGGTTGAACATCTCCTTGTTCAGTTTCCATCCATTATTCCTTGTCCAGCCTTTGGGTGCTTTGGAAAATAGCTTGACCCCCTCCTCTCTGTGGCAGCCCCTCAAATATTGGAAGACTGCTATCATGTCTCCCCTGGTCCTTCTCTCCACTAGACCAACCATGCCCAGTTCCTGCAACCGTTCATTGTATGTTTTAGCCTCCAGTCTCTTAATCCTCTTGGTTGCTCTTCTCTGCACTTTTTCTAGACTCTCAACATCTTTTTTATAGTGTGGTGACCAAAACTGGATGCAGGATTCTAGGTGTGGTCTTACTAGGGCTTTATAGGGTGGTATTAGTACCTTTTTTTTTCTGTATTTTTTTTTTTATTTTCAAATAAAACCAACATAAAAGCATCATCCTTTCAAACAATTACAGACAGCGTTTCGGTCAGTTAAAATCCTTTCGTGCTCACAAAATCTTCAAAATATCAATATATGACACATACTTCTTTTCTCCTAAAAAAACACAAATTTTTACACATTTTATCTTAATTTCACTTCATATATCATATTTAATCTCCATATTTTATTATCTATCCAACAATGAAACAAGCCCTATATCAAATAATATTGATTATCTTCCTGTTCTCTAATTTCAAATGTCAGTTTACTCATTTCGGCACACTCCATCATTTTCTTAATAATTTCTTCATCAGTAGGTATTTTCTCTCCTTTCCAGTTTTTTGCAGATACAATTCTATCCGCTGTTAAGACATTCACAATTAAATATTGCAGTTCTCTATTAAATGTCTCTGGTAAGATCCCTTATAATAATATCTCTCGTTTAAAATCAATATGTCTCTGTCATTTTTTCCAACCACGTATGAATCTTAGTCCAATATCTCTTTGCTTTTCCACATGTCCACCACATATGGTAGTATGTTCCTGGCGTCTGGTGACACTTCCAACATTTCTCCGATTTGTTCTTGAACATTCTGGCTATCCTTGCTGGGAGTAGATGTCACCTGTAAAACATCTTATACAAATTCTCCTTATATGCTGCAGACATTGTCATCTTATAATTATGCAACCACAGTTTTTGCCAATTCTCTAAATCGATACCATGACCAAAATTTTTCCCCCAAGCTATCATTGATTCTTTAACTTGTTCTTCTTCCAATTTCATTTCGAACAAATAACCATATAATTTTTTTAATTACATGGTCGTCAGAGCCCATTAAAATCTTATCTAAATTAGTTAAACCATTATAAAAACTTTCTTGTTTAAGATCTTCTTCATATCTAGAGCGTATTTGCATATATGAAAACCAGTCCATCTTATATCCCAAATCGTCTAGTTCTTGCTTCAGTTTAAGTTCATCCTTTTCATTCAATAGTTCACTATACCTAACAATTTGTTCCTTTTTAAATACTATCAAATATGTAAAAGCTGGAATTTTCAAATAATATTGCTTTTTGACCTTCTCCCAATTCAACAATAAAGCTTCCTGTATCTGATGTTTTCTAAAATACCCCTGTATTTTTGCACCCTTATACCATAAGAAAGCATGCCAACCCATCAATAAATCATGACCCTCCAAGTTCAATAATCTTGTATTTCTCAAAGTTATCCATTCTTTAATCCACATTAAACATGCTGCTTGATAATAAAGTTCAAAGTTAGGTAAACCAAAGCCACCTCTCATTTTAGCATCTTGTAACAACTTTAACGTTATCCTCGCCTTTTCCCCCTGCCAAATATATTTCAATATCATTTTATTGAAATCCTCAAAAAATTCCTTCCCCAACTTAATTGGAATTGTCTGAAATAAGTACAGAATTCTAGGTAAAATATTCATCTTAATAGTTGAAATCCTACTAATCAATAATAATTGCAAGTTTCCCCATTTCACCAAATCTTGCCCTATCTGTTGTTTAAGCTTGTTATAATTATTTTCTTTAAGTGCACCACATCTTGCTGTCAAATGTATCCCCAAATATTTTACCTTGCATCTTTGATATCTCAATCAGTTCTTCTTTTTGTTTTTTCAACATATTTTTAGTCATTATCTTCATTTTATAATTATTAATTTTCAGGCCTGCTACTTTCCCAAATTCACCTATAGTTTCTTTCAGTTTATTTATTGTTTTTAATGGTTCTTCTATTATAAAGACCAGGTCATCAGCAAAAGTTTGCAATTTGTATTCCTCTTTTTGGATTTCCATGCCTTTTATTTCTTTTTCTTCTCTGATGTTTCTATTTAAAACTTCCAACGTCAATATAAACAAAAATGGTGATAACGGGCATCCCTGTCTTGTACCTTTTTCTATCTCAATAGCTTCAGTCATTTCTCCATTAATTATTACTTTTGCAGTCTGCTTATTGTATATAGCTTCAATTGCCTGGATAAATTTCCTACCAAAACCCATCTCTCCCATTTGAAGTGTCATAAATCGCCAATTAACATTATCAAAAGCTTTTGAGCGTCTAAAAATTTCAAAGCCATCTGTTTTTCGGGGTGAGCTTCATAGTATTCTAGTGTATCTAAAATTACTCTTATATTGTCTCTTAAATTTGTCTTTTTGGGAGGAATCCATTCTGGTCTATATGTATAAAATTGTTCAAGTAGCTCTTTAAACTGTCTGCCAATATTGAAGCAAAAATTTTATAATCCGAGTTTAACAAAGATGTAGCTCTGTAATTTTTGATTTGTTGCGGATCTGTGTCTTCTTTATGTATCAGCGTAATATATGCCTCAGTCCATGAATTGGGTATTTCCTTCTTTGTCATCACTTCATTCATAACCTCTAATAATGGGAGAGCCAAAGGTTCTTGTAATGCCCTATAGTATTCAGCCAGTAAGCCATCTGGTCCTGGTGCCTTCCCATTCTTTTGCTTCTTAATTGCTTCTGTTAACTCTATCA